ACAGGGTTTCACTGAGTTGCCCAGGCTGGCCTTGAACTTGTGATCCTCCTGCGTTAGCCTCCTGAGTACCTGGGATTATAGGTGTGTGCCATTATGCCCATTGCTGTTTGCATTTTTTTCCTCTGGAAAATTTGAACTGATATCATGTGGGTGAGTTGGCAGCTGACCCTACTGTAATGGTCACCATGACAGAGAATTACTCCTGCTGAGAAGCTCCCAAAGGGCCCCTAGATGTTTCCTCAAGTCCATCCAGCTATTCCTTGGGTTTTATAGTAGCCCTCCTTTTCTTGAATTAGTTTCACCAAGTTTTTGTTCTGGCTTCACAACATACTGACATGGTTCTAAATGTATCAGCTGATAGATGGTAGGGAGATGACATTTGTATAGTTTTTACACTATTGAAAACTACCTATCATATGACTTTTGTAATCCAGAGGATGAGATTATGTTAGCAGTGGTATTCTTGTCAGTTTCTTAGCCTTTTTTGGGGGTGGGGGGAGTGGTATTGGGGATTGAGTCCAGGGGCAGCATGCTAAGCAACTGTTCTGCCCCAGCCCTTTTTATTTTTTGTTGAAGCAAGGTCTTGCTAAGTTTTTATTTTTTAATTTTTTTGGCAGGACTGAGGATTGAACCCAGGACCTTGCTCGTGCTAGGCAAATTGTTCACCAACTTAGCTATATCCTCAAGCCTTTTTTTTTTTTTTTTTTTTTTTTAAATTATGAGATGGGGTCTCACTGAGTTGCCCAGGCTGGCCTTAAGCTTGTGATCCTCCTGCCTCAGTCACCTGAATAGCTGAGATTAGAGGTGTGCACACCACATTTGGCATGGAAGCCTTTTAAATAGATGTTGCCAAAATCATGGCTAGTAAACACTTCTGCTAGGGCTAGTAAACACTTTATATCTGTTTTGTGTCACTTACAAATTTTGTGACACAAGCTGGTAAGCACTGTGCTATGGGAAACAAAAAGATGAGTAAGACCTGGTCATGGAGAGATCACCTTGCAGAGCACCCTGCTCTGACACACCAATAGTCATTAAGTAAGCCACGAGCAACTGTGGCGCGAGAGGCATCCTGGAGATTCTGTGGTTTGGATAGGCTTAGAAACATTCTTGGGATTTTTACCTGGCAAGAGGGTGAAGAGATGTTCCAGGCAAAGGTCAAGATTGCTTAATCAAAGAGACACAGGGCTGCTCCAGGCACAGAGGACAGCAGTAGACTTGACCCTGAGATGATGTCTCAGCATCACTTCCCTGGGATTGTAGTAGAATCATTTAACATCTTTCTTCATGTCACTCCAACAATAAAATAGGACAGCACATACTCTGCCTGTGCCAGACATTGTCTAGACCAGTATTTTTCCAAAGTACAAAGTCTCACCCATTCCTGAAACCAACTTTATGGTTTTATGTGATGATATGACCATCAGTTTATTTCTGTGTGTATTTTACTTGTTTTGTCTGTTGTCTATTCCACTAATATGTTAAAAGGGCAAGAATTTT